CCCCCCCCCCCCCCCCTCCTGCCCCTGCTCCTGCTGCCCCTCCCCCAGCCCCAGCAGCTCCTCTTCCTCCTGCCGGATCAGCCGCACCAGCTGCTCCACGCGCTGCCGGATCAGCTCCCGCATCTCCTGCTGCACCTGCTCCAGCCGGACGGCCTCATCCTGCAGCGCCGCGTAGGTGGCCTCGAAGCTGCTTCTCTTCTGCTTCAGCTCCTGGCTCATGATGCCCAGCTCCTCCTGCCTGCGCTGGGTCTCGCTGCGGATGTCGCAGAAGGGGGCATGGTGGCTGTCCAGCAGCGCGCACGAGCAGCACAGGGGCTTCTCACACTTCCTGCAGTAGATGCTGGAAGGAAACAGGAGCATCCTTCAAAGCCGGTATGTGAGGAGGGGGAGAAAAGCATTTCCACTGTGTTGGGCGTGATTCCCCCTCCCCAAGGGACAGCTGAGGAGTTTAACAAGAGGGGAAACTGAGGCACGGGGCAGGAAAGGGCTCTGCCTCACATCACCAGCTGCAGATGTGGGCTTGAAGCTGGGTGTTCAACCCACCTTTGCTCCCCTCCCTCCTCCCAGGGACCTGCCAGCCCCATATCACACCCTGCTCCTGCCCAGGGTCTCGCCAGGGTTGCAGTGGTCGCTCTCCAAAGGCAGGTGATGAAACCCCCTTAGTTCTGCCCTCCTGGCAGAGTTGGTCCTGGAGCAGCAGCCCCAAAGCCCTCGCTGCAGGATGGGACCTGGGGACAAGGCACCACTCTCACCTGGAGATGTGGCCCTGGTCGGCGTGACCAGGACTGGAGCAAAAAAGGTTGTAGGACTTTCTGGTGTCTTCCAGGAACTGATGGGCTGATTCAGCACGAAGGTCCTCCACCCTTCTGGCCTCATGGCTCCTCTTCTTGAAGAACCACTGGTGGTCTTCAAAGCACTTGGTGCAGAGGAACTCCTCGCACTCGGAGCACCACACTGCCGCTGTTTCGCTACGGCACCGACTGCAGCTCAGGCCACTGCTGTTGCTGAGCTTCTTGTAGATGTTGAGCCTGGTCTGCAGGTTGGTGAAGAGCAGGTTGTCCATGTCGGGGATGCCGCTGGCCTGTGGGATGGCCGTCCGGCATATGGGGCACTGCCCAATGGGCTTGTTCTCGCTCAGGCAATCGAGGCACAAGGTGTGGAGGCAGGTGAGAAGCTTGAGGTTGGGCGATTCCTGTCGGCAGCGCTCGCAGAGGACAAACTGGAAGTCATCCTTCACCGCAGGCTGCTGGGATGAAGGGGAGCACGGGGGTGTACCCGTCTGGGGTCCCGTCTCCATGGGGGCAGCGGCACCGTCTCCGTCTAGGTGGGATGTGGGGGAAAGACCCCGTCGGAGCACGTGAGATGGAGGCGAACGGGAGGCTCAGTCCCACCCATGGGGGCCATGCAAGCCACCCACGGGTGGCCCACTTTACCCACCCTGATGCACGGAAGCAATAAGGGAGCCGCAAGGCGGGTGAGCAGCTCCTCTCCATCCTTCCTGCCGAGGGCAAGTGGGTGGCAGCACCCCGGCAAGGCAAAGGGGGGGTCTCCCCGGGGAGATTCTCTGCTGGCTGCAAAGGGTTGTGCTCCCTCCTGCCCTCAGCGTGGGACCCTTGGAGGCTCTCCTCCCCGCCCCCCCCTTTCCCTTCGGGGAATTTTGGATTTCAGAGCTGGGGGGGGGGGGGGACGACGGCCGCAAAGCGACTTTTCTTTTCCTTTT